CGTATTTTCCCACATTTTGTCTTAAGTGCATATGCCCTGTGTACCTTTCAAATGATCTGTTTTACTTACATGGCAGTGTGCTTTTTTTATGGTTTACATGGTATAGAGTGTATGCAATATATACTCCATGGTACTTGTAAGCTAAATATATGTGCTGTGATATTTAATAAATATATACTATGCGATACATTATCTGCACCGATGCTATATTGCCTGTTGTGTACATATGGGTCATATAATATTATATAGTTTCCCTTCATTGGTTTGCCCCTTTTTATGGTTTGCTTCTACTAATAGCCTTTACTTTTTACATGGCTAAAACTCTTCCAAGTTTTGTTGGATGTCAGTGATAACTCGTGTACAAACTAAATACTAAACGTTCAGGATCTGGCTAAGTCTTTTATTGATATATTAATTGATGGAGTAATATATGTATTTTTGTACTTCCATTAAACTATATTTTGTAGGGTGAAATTCAAGGACTGGACGAAGTTCATGGTTCAGCTGTTGTTCGGGTCTTTATTCTTTGGAACCCTGACGATATTGTCCTGTAGATTCTTTGATCTACCATCTCGTCGGTTGGTGAACCTGTCGTTCGTCGTATGGATGGTACGCAGTTAAACTCCAATTTGTTTTATTGTTTTTGTGATAGGTATAAAGTGTATGAAACGTATATCTTAAACTACCTATTGCTGCTAGTTCATACCTGATATTTTACCATATTTGATAAATTTGTTCAAGAAGCGAAGGATAACAGATGACCTTGTGTTAATGATTGCATATCATTTGTTTAAGATATATTAGTCATTTGTTGAGTTTATGAATGTAGGAGCTACTCGATCGTTTATAAAGTGTGAGCAATTTAAAATATCCATATGCATTCCTTTCTGGTTGAGGGAATTTTGGCTTCAGATTACAGGGTCTCATGATGCCCCGTCTTCAGTGTCGCCGATTTTCTATTATTCAGTTCCCCTTCTTTGGGTGCCATGTGGCTTTGCAAAGAGAATTCGTTTTGCCTGATCCTTCTCCGAACTCACTATTGCGCAGTCTCTACACCCAAGTTCATCTGTCGCGTCGGATTTATTTCCAAAAGCTTTCATATCTTTCTTTTACTTAATCGTGTCATCTGAGGTCAGGTCTTCCAGTTGGGTGCTTCCAACCGTTTCGAATTTAATACGTCACTGTTAAAGTCGGTCGCTCATCCTCAGTCGTCCAGTGTAATCTGAATCGAGTTATATGCAGGTGACTGAGGGCAATGTTTGTTTGTACTTTCCATTTTTGAAATCGAATTGGCTGCTGTCCATGCTTGCCATATTTCTTAAACAGAACGTCAGTTTGCCCTTTATCCAGATCAAATTTGGTTTCAAGTGGCAGCTATCTGAAGCTTTGTCCACTTTGAGTTATCCTATGTGAACTAAGGGACACAGCACCTCCTTTCTGGCGGGGTTTCGTCCACACCACAGAGCCTCTTCTGTACATTTCATCACAATTCAAAACCATCGCAATTGTCGTTATTCAGTGTTGAGAAATAGCAGTTGACAATATTCGGTATCTCGAATTTTCTAATTCTGAAAATTGCGTAAATTCACTACGCTAACAGTAACGTTATCTCTTACATACTCTTTCGGTATGCAGTACGTATGTCCATAGCTGAAGACTGCGCATACAGATTTGATGGATATTTTCGCATTGCTACTCAGCTCATTTTCTTCACAATACACATGTTTGGCTGTCTCGTTTCTGCGCCACTTTCACTTTTCCCTCTCTTGTTTCACGTTATGCCTCTCGTTATTTGAGAATGATAACTTTGTTTTAAGTATTTTTAAGCGTCACTCTCCAATTACAACTTTAAAATATAAAATTCTCATAATCTGACTCAAATTATCTCCCTAATCGACATTACTCAGAACAGGTAGTTTTAAAAGCTATTCGTTTATTTAAGATTTTGAGTACCTGTTAGCTCATTGGTCACAATCTAAAATACGTCTTTTCCTGAAAACTGTCAAATCTGATTACTGCTCAAGCAGGGTTACTCAGCTTGCGAAATGTCTTTCTCATATTTGAGAGACTATGCGTTCGAGCCGTGATTGGGCAATCGACTTTCATTCTTCCAAGACATATAGATCAGTACTGTATTGTAGGAACTAAATTACAGGCTAGAATGGCCAGTTAACTATAAATATGATAATAAATATTGCTAGGCACTCTTGGCTGATTACACAGCAACGGCGTTTAGCGTCGCATCATATATCCCGTGGACAAAGGTACCGCAGATAGCGAAATATCGCGGTAGTGAAAGATACTTTACATCCGAAAGGTTGGAAACTTATGGCAAATGGATATAATTGCATAATAAATGGCATAAACGTCACTGGCTGTTCGTGTGCCTGAATATTTCAAAAACGGAATGGTTCCTCCAAGACCAGATTTCACAACTGATTACACTACTCCTTGCCCATAGTTGCCTGGGGTGTGACATTTAAGTAGACCACGGCTCCGTGATGTTTGAATACCTACACTATCAGATGCATTTTGTATTATTTTGTAAGCTAAAGCCACCTCGAGCTCATCACTACTGGTGATCAAATGTTTTGTTTAAATTCCTCGGGCAAACTTTTATCAATGGGACGATGCAATACGCTGGGAAAGTTGATTTTGCAAAAGTCATTCATTGTTTAGTAAATGCTATATTGCATATGTTCAGTAATTTTCCGCTGTTTAAGTTTCGAAAGCTTGTAAAGAATTCTAAGCGTTTAATGTCAACGGTATCCTATCCCACTGGTTTTCCTTTACAGCAAAATTCGCGCATCGTTTTACTCAGGTTGCATATGCATGACGTTGTTAGCTATGTTCAGTGCTGCCTTTATGTTTATGTAACGATATGACGTGCTTCTACGCCAGCCTCTCAATTAATGCTGTAAAATCTTGTACTGCTTTTAGTGCTTTCTCTGTTTTTGCAACGCAACGCTCTTCATTCTGGTTGAATTGTTCGTCTGGCTGGCGGCAATACTGAAATTACCCCTTTATTCTGCAGGTAAGTCATCGACCTTTGTTATGTTTTATGATATGGTCGTTATCTGAAGTTTCGTGTGACTACTCGAATTGTAATTTAAAATAATATTATATGGATTATGGTACTAAAACTAGTGGCACGATGCGCTATATGGTAATATTATGATGTTATATGATAGTATGGTGTAATATTGTATAAAGTATGGCACTATTAATATTGCTATTCATTACTATATAAGTATGGTGCTACTATTTTTAGTATTGTACCCTGTAGTGCCGTTTTATATACTACTATACAGTTGTAGTATTAATAGTACAAACGGCAGTATTATGCTCTATATAGCACTGTATAATACTCTTATGTAGCAGGGTCATATGGTACTGCATGTGATACTATAGAGAGTTCAGTACTACAGATAGTAGTTTTATAGGTGCTGTATAAAGCATGTTATCATTTGTATTATTATATAGCATAGAGTGCGATATTACAAATAATGAAATTGTACATTATAGAGCTGTACATGGTACTAAGATATAGTTGTAGGATCTAACATACTTTATACTGGTTTATATTGTATCATATAGAGAGCAGCACTGCAAATAATGGTATTATAGTTTGTGTAGTATTATGACGCATGACTGCATCTATCCGGGGCAGCTCGTTTTTCAACAGTGAATCGATTTTGTGCGATCAGCATAAGAAATTAAATGACATATAGCACTTTTGGGAGAATGAAATTGTTCCTTTGCTGGAAACTGCTCTTGTCCTTGAAGCGATAAGTTTTCGATTAGTACGTGCTCCCCGTTACCCAAAGCCTCTAACTTGAGTTGCGAAACGGGTTCTAAGCCTGGAAACTCTTCGTCAACAGTCGATTATGCAACACAGAGTGGAAAGATGTCTGTCGGGAATAACTGGGAGATATGAGAAGGTGAATGAATGATTATGCACACAAACAAGAGTCTGTGATGACATTGCCCGAGTTAAGATGTTAAAGTAGCAATGGGCTGAACACATTACAGGAATGATCGACCGTCGCTGGGCCAGAGACGTTAGGCTGGGTTCCAGGAAAGAGTAAAACGGCTCGTAAGGAGGCATTCAGGTCGATGGCAGGGAAAAGCTCCCTGGATCATGAAAATGGCTGATAACGAACATTTACGACATAGTCTTGGAGAGGTCTTCATCCAGGAGTGGATCGACAAAGGCTGATTTAATGATGATGATATGACGTATGACTCTTCCAAGAATAGATTTAACCATTTAATTTGTTGTACCACCCGTTTGCTCTTAGTTTCTTAGGGGTCATTTAAGCATGTGACGATTCCGTGGTATTTTGGCACTTGTGGTGTGAGATCTTCCATCATTTTATCCGCTAGAGCTACCTCTCGTTCCTCACGAACGATGTCTCAGTAGCTGGTGCTCCTTGTGTACTATCGCATAAACACCATGAGTTGTTCGTATGCCAAAGTGTATCAAATGGCGCATGAAATCTTGTCGTTGACTAGTCATGCGTAATTTGACATCTTTCCGCTTACGAACCACTGTTGTTAATATTGTACTGCTGTTTTGTAATATTGCACTGTCCTGTTTAACGTATAATACTGCAGACGGTAGAGTGCTTTATACAGTACCATAATACTATTATTATTAGCATTGCAGTCTATAAGGTATTATATATAATGCTGGTGTATTGTTATTGTAATAACTTCCCATAGTATGAAACATTAATTATCTCTTCATTGCGAACTCCCTGCCACAGGTTATGGAATTGGAGTATTGTTCGTAAATTCAGGGCTGTTGCTAGCAACGTCGGATTCTGCGTTCCTTGTGCTTGAATGCTTTTGTATCAGCTGACTTTGATAGGTGCTTCTGGTCTGTTTTCACTGCGCCGATATCACTGGTCACCATGAGAGGCATTGCTCCGCCTATACTCTCTTTCCATCGTCAATTCCTAATATTTCAGTATCTTTTCTGCCTCCTTAGCACCAGCATGGTATGCTATATCAGTGCTCTGTGTCTATCCATTCAGTTTTTCTACCAGTACGATATCCGGAATATGAGTGAGCCTGTATTTCTTTTTCGGTTCTTATTGGGAATTCCGCAGTATTTTCATTTGGCCAGTCAGTTTACTTCTCTCGGCTGAAGATTTTACCATGGAGATGATACCCCTGGTACATGTTTGCCACTTGTACCCCAACTCGTTTGTACAGCTGCCAGTGTACTTTCCTTGCAACGTTATTTTGTGTTTTCTGTCATCCTCATGACCGTTTGGCAACCAGAAATTACACAGGTCATGGTTTCATCCCTTGCATGAGCATTCTTCACTTGATTTTTTGTTGCATGTGCTTTCTACTGATCCGTATTCAACACTTGGTCCACTGTTAGAATGGCTTCGTCATTCACAATAGTGTTTTAGCCTGTTGCAAGTCTGTGTCTTCACCATTTTTTGCAGAGATGCTGGCCATAAAACAGTTTTCCTGTTTCCATGTTTGTTTGTGCTGTATGGGGCGGCCTCTGTCTTTTTCTGTCGATCTTGTTCATGACGGGATTATTCCTGCTATGATGCAGTATTCGGTTCCTTGTAGCAAGTATCGTTCTGCTTCACAAACTAATCAAGGTGATTATCACAGCGTTATACATTAATATGGGATCTCGTGCGGCGGCCTACACGGTCTTAGCCTTTAAAAACGCGCGCCATATGCATGTTAAACTTTCTTATCCTCTGTTACATATAGCTGTACTTTAATGCGCGAATTTTAAACTGAAGTGACTGAGGCTGAAGCGTACTGGAGTTTGGTCACTTTTACATATTTAGACGCAGATCGAAGAAATCCTTTTTTCCTGTTCGAGCCTTGCTTATGGAAAGCGATTAACAGATTCGGTCTGGTGTACTTCATCATCGGTAACGTGCTGACAGGAGTCGTCAACCTGGCCTTTAACACACTGGAATCTAGCGACAGTGCTTGCATCGTAATTCTGTTCGTGTATTCTTTTGTTATGTGTACCATTGTTTCTTTGCTGTATGCGAGGGAAGCCTATTGAGCACGAGAAAGAGCGGCGAAACTCCATTAGCTGAGAAGTGTCGAAGCGAAGAACCAACGGGTAAATAGCTAGCATCTCTTCTGCAGATGTGATGATCATGGCAGCAAACAAATTTCCTTCATTTGAGTGCATTCTTGTAGCATGATAATAATCTGATAGTAATCGACGGGTCATGATGATCGACGCGATTTATAAGTTCAGCATTCACTGTGTTCATATTCAAAGGCGACCAAAGCTTTAATGAACAGTGCTGCCAACATAGTGGCTTGTTGTCGTTGTTGCTTTTTTTGCTTACTGTTAACGCATACCCGAAATGGGTCGTATAGTCGATTGACTATTATTATTGGTTTAAGTGCTTTCGTCAGCTGTTTGCACGCGTTTGAAACTTCTCGTTTTCTGCTGTGTCATTACTATGGAAACCACGACGCAGTGACATATACCGAAATGTTGTTTTTATCATTTGAACGTGGTTACTTGAAACGGGTCTTTGTAAGCTAATGATTCCGTGGCATCGCTTTTGACATATTTTTAATGCATTTTTGGCTATTTATGGCATTTTCATCACTTATTATTTATAGAGTGTTTTCTGGTTATTGCTGTTTTATTTTGCCTAAAAAGTTTGATAAGTTGTTCACGTTGAGCTTTGATTTTTCATAACGATGAATGGCATGCGATGATGGAATTTTTACAGAGACAGAGAATTTTTACCTTTCGGTTCTTGCATGAATTTTTGTGAACTTGTTTTGATGGCTTCATGTGTTGAAACGCAGAGGGCGAACGAGTTATATCAGAGATATTTATCGTCCGTCATTCACAGATGAGGCACCCAAACAGGCTGTTTGGTTCAGTACTTGATTTTTGACTTTGCAGCCTTTGACGTGGGTTCCATGCATTTGATATTTTTGACTGTTTCTGTCACTCGTCCCAGTATGCAAAGGTCAGGTTTAAGAGGACCGGCGAAGATCACTGATGGGGATCATGCTATGATTATCGAACTCTTTTGGCATATTCACCGGAACTCGAGCTCTGGTCACCTGCTTGAAATATTTGGAGGAACGTCGAATTTTAGGAAACAGACATTTGCTGTGTGAAAACTATTTCAAGTAATCTCAAATGATGACACCCAGGTATTGTTCTTCATTAATACGATTCGATGGATGGAGGTTTTTGTGCACCAGTGGGTCGACTGGTTGAAGGGAGCTGCTATGCTTTCAATAGCAGTGAACAACGGCTCAACCGACATTTTTTGGTTAAACATTAGTTAATCTTTCATCTTGTAGGTTTCTACAGATGAGACGGCGTTTGATAAGAGTCCAGGTTGAGGTCAGAGTTAATAGACAGATGATGCTGGTGACCAGTGTTACTGTTAACAGTGAGTAAGAACCATCAGCGTCTGCTAGTGATAATCGATGAAGCTGTCACCATCGAAACGAAACTACAGAAAATGGTGTTGCTGGTACCTAGCAGATTTTTGAACAGTACTGCGCCTTCCTAACTCTTAATAGATGATTGAAGTATCGACGGATCATCATACCAACTGTTTTAACAATTTATGGAGAGGTAAAGCTCATATGATGGGTAATGAAAAATTTTGGCTTTGCTTAAATAAATTTTGAATGAAATCATTTTTGAAATTTTCTATCAGTCCAGTGTTGTAAAAATTAATTAGAATACAAAAGAATACGTTCTAAACATTGTACCTTGCAATAAGCAATAATATTGTCCTTCTGATATGAGCATTGATTTTAGTTGAATGCACCAAAACTTTGGAGAAATAAACTCGTTTATATTTGTTTATTACAGCCAAAAAATATCTTTATGAAAACATTGCACATTTTGGCGTTGTCACCTTGGTAATGCTACGAATGCAAAAAACTTAAGGTTCACTCTGACTTACGTTAACTCGAACTTACGCAAATTACCCTGAAAGGGCTATAGCAAAAATTGCGTCTTATAAAAATATTGCTTTACACACCTACGTTGCTTGCACGCCACTTCCTAGGGTTTTCGCAAGGTGGACAACCCACATGATGCCTGCGTCACTTGCTTCAGGCTCGCCTTGCTTGCTATTTAACAAGTACTTGCTGCGTGTTTTTTTAATTAATTATTGACTTTAATAATTTTTAGTTTTTGTGTGTTATGTGAATAGTCATGACTAGAAAAAGGATGAGATTTGGAAAAAATTACCTTACGCATAAACGTAAGAAATCAAATCTGGAGACGAAAATGAGGTGAAAATTGTACAGAAATAAGAAGGTGGAAAAAGTTTATCGGCCACGTAATGTTGATCTGGAAACCAACGACAGTAAATGCTGGAGTGTGAAGGATGCTGCCCGTATAAAGAAGCATGAGCAAGACATCGAAGAGTTAATTCAATTATATAAATTCTAAAATTAACAAGTCCATAAATTAGACGCGGCGAAGGCTGCTAAGTCTCTGTCCTCAGAACTAAAACGTTCCCTGACAAAAGAGATGACAATTACGATCCGTAAAATTTTGGC